TAATAATTTATCCTCGCAAAGCTCTGGCCATCTTCTGCATCAGCTCAGCGGTTGGACTGTTACCCACGCCTGATTTCTGTGAACTCGCCATTGCACAAAGCGAGCCGGCCTCCGGCTGTGGTGGTGCTTGTCTGAGTGGAATTGCAGCATCACGTGGACCCTGTGGATGGCTGAAGGTTGATTGGTTTTATTGACTGACCTACAAAAAGAAAAACATGCACAGGAACTGACCTTGAACTGACGAGCTGCAGCTGATTGATGATAATCCACCAACCGCGAGGGCCGATTTATTAGGTACAGTTTACTAGTAACTAGTTGGACTGGACTTTGACCTTCAGGATTCTTCATGCTCCAAATATGCTCTGTGGGACTGAGATCTGGTGACAGTGGGAGCCACTAGGGTACAGTCTAAGAACTGTACTCTAGTGGCTCTGTACTCACAGATGGTATGAACACTCAAAGTGTGCTCATAAAGTGCGACGTGGGAGGGATCCATGCTTTCATGTTGTTTGTCTTAAACAACATGAAAGCATGGATCCTACCATTTGAACACTGGAGACGTGATGGTTCTCGCGTGGGACCCTCTGCTTGCACCGGGGTGGGCGGCCTCTACCAGGGTTGACTGCCTGTCTCCTCTGGGACTACCACTCCTTGGTGTGGGCGCCCCATCTGGGACCTCCCTCCTCCTGATGGGATGAGCGCGCAGAGACGTGTGGCCTTGCGTCTTTAGTACTCTTGGGGGCTGCGAACGGCCCGGTTCTCCCGGAACCATCTCTTCCTGCCTCTGGCTCCTGGGGGACGCTATTACAGCTTCCCACCTTCATTCCCAAGTATGTTTCATAACAAAGACACACTCACACTCTGTCTCTCACACACACGCACACACTCTGCCTGTCCTAGCTTAGACATTGTCATACTGTGTACCACATATAATGTGGTACAAGAGGAGCCTATAGAGAATTTATAGATTTAATCTTGGAAAAGCAAAATATGTTTGGCTCAGATCATAATTCTGATTGCAAAAGCTGCCAGACAGGATTTAAAAAACATAAATAAAGAAAAATAATTAAGTAATTTTCTCTCAGATTTAAAAGAAAAACCACAAGCTGCACTTTGTAAACCTTCAAATGCATTTAAAGCTTTGAACATGAAGGTAATTTCTGTTTACAAGTGATCGACCACATCACAGTAATAACAGCTTTTAGTTGATAAAGGCCTACAGCGTGTCAGAGGAAGCATTTCAATAAACTTAGGGCAGTAATTTAGTCGTTTATGACTTTAAAATGAGCATCATGGCTCATTGAGGATATAAATACACACACGGGCAGACAAATTGTCCTTGGCAGCAGAGGACAGCTCTGTGATAATCTGCTGAATTTATGGCAGCTGAGCATCTCTAAGCTCAGTGTAAGCTATATAAACTCTGTGTGTGAGTCCACGGCGTCCTATATCGTCGTTTTTCCTTCTTCCCATTTATTTTAAAAGGGGATGGGAAATTTAAGACGGATCTTGGATTGAAAAAAAATATCTTCCCCAACAATTCTGCTGTTATAAAAAATAATAATTTTGCAAAACTGTAAAGTTTATTCAATATTTTAAT